ATCCAAGACTCAGTTTCCCCACACCCACTCTTTATTTACTGAAGGGCTTTTCCCATTCCCTAGAACACTAATTGAGGAGGTTAAGTTTAACCCTTTATTATCAAGCTTTAAGCTCTACTTTTGCTGAAACCATACTGTTAGGAACGCTATCGCTTAGATGGAAAATCTACTGACGGCTTCAAGAGAACACAATGACATTAAAATGAGGCTTTATGTACAAAATGTTCAATTTGAAGTTGCATGTTCCTTGTGTATTTCTGTTTGAAAGGCTGAAACCAAGGAAAACAACTACGAAAATTAAAATCCACTTGCTCTACGTATCTGGATGATGCTCAGCCAAATGCTGATGACAGCTTGGATAAAAATGTAAATATGACAAAGTTTGTTTTTCAGTCAATAAGTCTTGGTAACAGCCTTGAATTGCTACCAACCAAAACCAGTTTTTAATTTTAGGCTGGGGTCGACAAACTTTTTCTATAAAGGAACAGTTAGTAAATATTTTTATAAGCTTTGTAGATCACATATGGTCTCTGTTGTATATTCTTCTTTGTTTTATATTTTAATAACCCTTTAGAAATGTTAACTAGTCTTCCAAAGGCACAAAAACTGCAGGCCACATTTGGCCCAGGGCCAGACTTTGGCAACCCCTGATTTTAGGAAAAGTGAATCCGAGCAAAAAATGCAGCGTTACAGAATAAAATATCCAGAAGTGCTCTGATGAGACCAGGCTGCAATAATTAACCAGCATACTGCTATTAACATGATTTCATTAGCTATTTTGCACGTGGAAGGAATTTTAATGACAGGATGCACTTTGATCTCTCAACCCGTAACTAGGGACACAAAAGAAAGGGCAAAGGACGGCTATCATATGCAGAGTTATCCCAGGAGAAATTCCTCCCAGCAAAGCATAAAGGCAAAATCTAATTCCTCCCTGGAAAAGGTGGCGACCTGGATTTATGGGGCCGATCAGACTGACGAGAAATAGCTGCAGCTCAACTGTGAGAAGTCACACACACTTGAATTGGGGGCTTCACGAGAAGTTCTGCTACAACCAGCTGTGGGATCTGTGTCAACTTAACCTTAGTTTTCCTACATACAAAATTGGGGCAGAGGTAGAAAGTATAATCTCCAATTCTTTCTGCTATCAAACTATGACTAGACTCAATACTGAAACCACTCAGGAAATACCCCACCAAGAAGAGCAGGGAGGGCAGGGGAGAGAGCAAAGGAAGAGGCTCACGTTGTCCAGTTAGGGCTAGGTTTTCTCTTTCTGTTCTGGCAGCACCTTGCTCAGTACAGGCCATTCCAAGGTGTCAGTATGGCCTCATATCAATAGTCAACTGGACCCACATCCCACATGAAATATAATGCATAGCTGACTGTATTACTGTTTCCTAGTTGTCTTAACATCACATCTTACAGACATTTAAAACATTAATTATGGTTATGTAGGAGGTTTGGGGGAGCTCATGGAAAAACTTTTTTTCAGGGGCACCTGGGTGGCTCAGTCGGTTGAGCTCCTGCCTTCAGCTCAGGTCATGGTCCCAGGGTCCTGGGATCAAGCCCCGCATCGGGCTCCCTGCTCTGCTGGGAGCCTGCTTCTCCCTCTTCCTCTGCCCCTCCCACCACCCCCCACGCCCACCCCACTGGTGCTCTCTCTCTCTCTCTCTCAAAGAAATAAAGAAATAAATCTTTAAAAAAAAATTAAGAAAGAGAAAAATTTTTTTCAGTTCTCAAACCTCTGAATTGAAAGGCTGGTTGGTCCTAGGCACTGGGCCTATAATTTCAAATGGATACATCATCCCTACTCAATAGTTAACAAATATTATCTGACTGATACACTTTAAGATTCCCAATGGGTTCAGGTGAAAGATAACACACCCTCCACCACCCCCAAGAGCAGAAAGGAAATGTGGGGAGATGGGATCTCAGAGAAGGTAGCAGAACCTTAGAGAAGTGAGAAGAAAGTACTCATGAGACAGCCATGTCTGTGATCCAAATGACTGTCTCCTTCCTTTCATGATGGCCGAATCACTACCAAACAGGATCTAAAGATGGCAGATGCCTTTTTTTAAAAATGACTTGAACTTTGACAAAGCAGTATTAAGACTAAACATGTATCTGCACGGGAAGAAACAAGCACACATGCATATCTAACAATCTCACACACACAAACCTCAGGTATTAAGAAATGGCTTTTTCCTGTGATGCTGACCTTATCAGGTTTAGTCAGCAAGGCTGTGGCAGACCCTGTCAAAACCCAGTCAGAAAAGCCCAGGAACTTATACACTTAGGTACCTCAAAAAATAATTATGTCTGCGAGGACACGGACCACCAACTCTTACCTCAACAACTTCAGATCACCAGCGGATGGGGGAGAGGGTTGTGGGGAGTGGGTATTGCTGCTAGAGATGGGGACACTCCAAGCCTACGATTGCGGTTAGTGAACATGTGGAACTTTTTTTCACTAGAATGGTGTTAATATTCAGCTTCTTTTCCCAGCTTAATTTCAAAAGCAAAGCATTAGGTTTCAGGTAAAAAAACTTTTCTGCTGTTTGAAGGCACTGTGATACGGCTTCCTGTAGGGTTCTGTGGCTAAATAAGAGGCATGGATTTCCCCTCCTCCATGTCAACTGAAGACACAGCTCAGAGCCTCTTTTAACCACATCCACCCCACAGAAAATACAAAGACCAAGATCACATTTGAGACTCATCCCAATGAATGTCTACCTTATGCTCCACACAGTTTCAGAACACTGGTTTTCCTGCCTTCATAGCTGCAATCCTTCATGGAACCAATTTCAATTAAAAAAAAAAATCCATACAAGAAAAGATTCTAAGCCATGAGCATGAAAAGTAATTTTTAAAAGCTACTATCACAAAAGGAAGCAGATACCCATACAGGAAATGTGGGACAAAAATTAAGGCAAAAAAAAAAAAAGGAAACTAATAAAGCTATTTCAAATGAGCGAAAGTCAGCTAAGGAGCTTAACAGAAACTACAGCAGTGAGACTCACTCACTTGACACAGGGGAATGCTTCTGGGACGGTCACACGAAGAATGGACAAAAGGCTACCCACTCAACTTGTTAGAAATTGTCCTTTACCATCTGGACTGCACCATGCATTCAACAATGTAAAAGGTTTATTCGGAGTTTTGAAATTAGTACCAGCATCCAAAACTAACGTCCTTTAGTTGCTGTGACAGCTCCCACCAAATCTCTTAGGAATATACTTGAGACATGACATTTAAAATCTGCTTCCTCAGAAAAGAAAAAGTCCCACTCAAGAATGACTGCCAAGAACTTGCAACTCAAACTTCCCTAAACCCAGACATCATAACACCAGGGAGGTTTCAGAGCACTCAATCCATCTGAAAGAGGCCAGAACAAACAAACATAGACTTCCCTAGTTCTCAATTTTAAGAGCGCTCTATACCTAAATATTCTTTTTTTTAATGGTAAATTATCCTTAAAACACACAATTTTCAAATACAATTGTTACCATAGCACCACAACAATCCCAGAAATTCACGGTGAAATATGCTATAAGAACCATGTGAAAGGTGCTTAAGTGAGCTACTATTAGAAACCACAAACATCACCCAGACAACGAAAAGCTAAGATTCTTAAGGTACTTAATTAACTGCAGCTATTTAACAAAGGAGATGATGTTAAGGTCACTCGTGCAGGCAGCTTAAAACCAGCTTTGATTTGCTCTTCAGTTTATGCTAAATTACAGATCTCCTTACCTGAACACAAAGTCTGCCAGGACAAAAGTAGAAAGGACAGCTCCCCGCCAAGATCAGGAAAAACGATTAATCAATTCAAAGTAATTGGGGGGTACACTGTAGTGATTTATTTAGCAAGTAATAATTAAAACCAAGGCAAAACGCATAGGGAGGCAGGCAAAATGTTAAGATCAATTCCTCCACTGAGAAGTTATTAAACATTCAAGCCCAAGAATTTACAAAGTTGAGAAGTGATGCTTCTCAGGAGATGGTAGTAAAGGAGTGAACCATATTTTCCTGACCACACCACTCCCCAAAGTCACCAATTCTCTTAACACCAGTTAAGGGGCTCACAGAACAATTTAATACTCTCTGGACATTATTCCACCATTCGTCACGTTTTGCTCTTTCTCCTGCACTTGAGCCAAAGGAAAGGGAGAGAGAAAATGGTAACCAGGGTTCCCAGTTACTGGAGAAAGTCCTGTGCCCCATGCTTTCTTCCACTTCCTCTCCCGTTCCCATTTTCTCTGTCTTCCCTGCTCAGCCTCTGGAGTGTATATTCTGCTTCCCTTTTTCCTTTCTCTCTCACACCCAGCTTTCCTTTACTTTCTCCAGCACCTGTCCTGGCTCCGACCTCTGATCCCCTGAACTCTTCTCTCCATCCTGCAATTTTTGTTCTGCCCCTCCCATGACAAGAGATACAGACCTCTTGCGGCCAGTGCCCCCCATCCCTCACCTCCCGATCACTCATTCCTCCGAATTCCCTTCCGATTGTTGGGCTCTCACCCCTCTCGTCCCTTGTGTCCTCTGTTCTTTTACTTCACGTCCCTCCCATTCCCCCAAAGCTTCGTTTCCCCTTCGCATTTCCTTCCTCTTTCCTGTCTTTTAATCCATTTCACACCCACTATCCCCTTCTCTTTCTCCATGAGATTTCGTGTCTCCCGCCCCCCACTTTGTCCCGCTAAGACCTTACCCTGTCACCCTCCCAACCCTCTCATTTCCCCCAATACCCCTAGTCCTTGTTGCTCTGGTTCCCCTTCCCCTTCCTTTGCCCCCAAGTTCCCTCTTCACCCCGCCCCCAGACTCACGTCCCCGCCCGCCCCTCTCCCTCACTCCTTCACCCTCTCCTACTGCCCTCGCCGCCCTGCTGTCCCCGGGGTCCCCTCTCTGGGGCTCCCAAGCCCTCCTCCAGCCCGCTCCCCGGCCCGCCTGCACCCGCCCCCCGTATCGCCCTCACTCCCCGTCCCCGGCCGCGGCCCCTCCCTCACCGATGGTGGAGATGAAGGTGGTGTTGAAGGCGTCCTCGGAGAAGCGGAACAGGAGGCAAGTCTTGCCCACCCCCGAGTCGCCGATCAGCAGCAGCTTGAAGAGATAATCGTACGTCTTCGCCATCTTCTCGCTCCGGCCCTCTGACCCGGGAGCGAGAGAAGCGGCGGAGAGAGGCGGGGAGGGGGCCGCGGGCGAGGGGGCGTGTCCGCCTAGCCACCGCCGCTCGCCCCGCCCTGCGACCCGCCCCTTCCCTTGGAGAAGGCCTGCGCGCCCCGCCCCGCGCGGCCAATCCGCGGGGGCTTCGTCATCACCGCCCGCGTCCCAGGGTTCGATGGGACTTGTAGTTCCTTGGAGGAGCCTCGGGCGTGCCCGGCGCCGGCTGTCCGAGCAGCCCCAGGGGATAAAAGAAGATCCGCTGCTTGCTGGGTGAGCGGGTGGATTAGACGTTTCCACCCCTGCTGGGAAGGAAGGCTCGGTTTCGAACTCTGCGCGTCGTGCCGCGGGAACTCAACTTCAAGGTTTCTTTGTGTGTGGGCGCCTTTCAAATCCAGACCTCGGAATCTGAGTGCCACGACTCCCGCATCTCTTCCGCCGGGACCCGGAGCAGAGAGATGCCTTTCTTCACGCTGCTGTGGCGCAGCCAGTGGATTATCTGCAGGGTGCGTTATCTGTCTTCTCCTGCAGTTCCTGCCCAGCACCACCTCTGTGCCCCCTCCCGCAGCCCCTCAGTTACAGATCTCGAAAAGAATGATTGCCGTTCTAACTTAAACCCCAGTCATGTTCTCTTCACGCCACACAGACCAGAGCCAAATACGATTGGTATTTTAGAGGATCTGCTATGCAGACCACTCCCCTCCCCCTGCAAGACGATCGATAAAAAAATCTGGGAATTGAAAATATTAAGGCTTGTGCTACAGGTCTGTGTCCTATAAAGTGGCAAGCATTATGTGAGGCAGGAACTATGACCGTGGGAATCTAGAGAATAAGATTTGGATTTTGTGTTGGCTGAGCGGCTTAACGGCTCCGTCTCGGCGCACCAGTTTTCTCATCTGTAAAATGGGTATAAAACAAGCTGTTTCGTAGGGTTGTAGAGAAAATTAAATGAGATAATATGGAAGCACTTTGAAATCCATAGGCATTGTAGAAATGTTAGTGGTGATGGTTACCTTCTTAAGCCCTCTGGAGGCTCTCAACGGATGACAAATGAAGGGGGGGGCAACATTCTGTTATACTCACTCTACTCCTTTACTTACTGGTTTAAACTATTCTTTGTTTTGTGGATATAGTGTTCAGGCCTCTTCATTTGCTAGTGCCAGAAACCCAACCAGATCAAGTTCTCCTGGAAGGGAGATTTCCTGGCTCAAGTAAAGCCTAAGGGCAAGGAATGGCTACGCAAGTCTACGACCAGAAGCTCTACCCAGTCAGGGCTCTCTCATCTCTTCTCCCGTCTCAGTTTTAATTTCTAATATGCCAAATACCGATTGATAAGACCAACATGAACAAAAGCTCTTCAGAGTCCTCAATAATTTTTAAGAGGATTTTTTTTTAAAGGGGTCCTGAAGTAAAAATATTTGAGAACCACTGGCCTAGGCATTTACTTTAGATCTAAGGAAATACCTCCTGGAAGATTAGAGGAGGTTATTAAGGGAGCCGGTGGACTCAACCATTAGTGGAATAAGGAAAAAACTTGGGACAGTTAGTTAAACAAGACAGGCTTTTCTAAAACACATCTTGAGTGCCTTGTGACCTCATGTAGGGTGCCAGTGATATTCCATTCTTGGTCTTGTTGTGGCAGAAGATTCAGTTGGTCTTAGTATTGGCCTTCACCTTCTGTGTGGAAAGAAGATGAAATGTGTCATTGACTCACACTTATTGATAATACAGTACCCAGAAAGTTGCTGCTAATCTAATGTCTAATTTCTGGAGCTCACTAGATGGGAACAAAGCTCCTAAGGATGTCAGTGTCAGTTTCTGTCCCCTCAAGAGAAGGGCCCTGCCCTCTGCCTCCTTGCCCCAGCCAATTCTTGGACAAGCCTGTGAATTTGGCCTCAACCGGGGCTGAACAACCATGAACAGCTCAGTTCTATACCTTCACCTTCATTCTGGAAAAGAAGGGGGAAAAAATCTTCCAAGACCAGTGAAAGCTTTCTTTTATAAAATGTGTACTGATTAAAATAAATTTCAGCCCCACTATCTGCATGTAACTGTTGGCATTCGTTTTTCTGTATGAGTAAGAACACACTGAGGTGGTATAGAACTTAAGTTCAGAAAGAAGTTAGAGTTAGGAATTTTAAAGTCCCTAAATTTCCTTAGGGGAATTTTGTTAATTGATGGGAATTAAAACAAAACAAAACTGTGTCTTATTTTCACTTCCCTGGTTTTTCTCTACCACCAAGTGTATATAATATTGGGACTTTCTAGGTGGTAAATCTGTGCATCACTGTTGAACCACTTAAGAATTTTGATATATGGACACTATTTCAAGAATCCAAATTTTTCCCTTTATGCATTATTAATTTTTATATTTGTACAACAGTGTTCTTAGAGATCAGATTTGGTGGTAGTAGCAGTACCATTAAATCAAGGTACTTTGCTCAAAGGACTGGGCAATAAGTATATTTGTAGAGCTGAGGGTACCACATGGAACAGGTTGCTGGTTGCCACCTTCCTTTCTTTCTCCAAGTGGCATTGGTGGACCCCCTTTCTAAAAATCCATGCTACTGCGCTCTGAGGAAAACACATCAGTATTTTTTGCCACTTGCCCAAACCCATCTTTGAAATGCTACATCACTGCAGAGCACGAGGAAGAACAGAACATTCTATCTGATTCCGTAAATGTTTATTGAAGCCTTTGGTAAGGTTAACGTGGACATAGCAGCTTGACTTACAGAAATCTAGATATTCAAGGAATTGACCCTCTGTGGTTTTTGGCAGGCCAGCACTCTTTCTTCCTGCTTTTGGGAAAGGCTGTGAATCATGGTACTTTATTCCTCCAGCCAAAGCGATGGACATAGGACCGGGCTGCGTCAATCTGAGTTCTTCCCTGTGACTCTTCTAATGGGGAGCGGTAATGATGCTGAAAGGAGGTCTGAATGCTGGGAGGTCTGTGTGAGCTTCAGGCTGGTTTTGATCAGAGCTTTAGTTCATTTGCCTGTATTCTCTTTCCCTGCCCTCCTCTGCATGTTTACTTTGTCCTCGAGCTGGCTTTCCTTTGCCATGTTGCACAATTCCAAGGGCATTATTCGCTTCTTACAGTTTATTCATTTGGGGATCAAAGACATCCCCCCCAAGAATCTACACATACTCTTGAGAGTCTGTATGTTCTCTAGGCAAATTTTCAAATTAATTCAAGCGTTCTCCAACTGTATAAAATTGCTCTATAAAACTCGCATGTAAGAAAAGTTACCTTTCTTAACTGCTTACATGAAATTAAATTTGGCTGAGACCCCTACTTGTCAAGGGCTGGCAAAACTGGTATCTATCATTACTGGGGCTTTTCTTCCTCGCAACTGCATCCTATAAGAATCCAGGAGCTTACGTGGTCCCGAAAAATTAGGGGCAAAGCAGCTTCTGGTCATCAGCCTGCACCCGTCAGTGTTGACACTTCTGTCCAAACACTCTCGGGTTCTGGTCCTCTGCCATCTGTTGAGCACAGCTGTCCCGGTGGGCTACAAAGATGCCCTTCATGGTGATTATTTTCACTGACTGATGACTCAGCCATCGAATAAGTTCTCTGTTATCTAATAGTTTGTGTACTTCTTTGTCTTCTCCCTTAAAACTTGAGCTCTTTGAGGAAAAGGACATTGCTAATTTCTCACTGTGCCCCCAGCAAGCCTAGCATGATGGCTTAATTGAGCAGGTACTCAATTAAGTTGTCAAATAAATGAATGAACATCTGACTATCGTGCCAGTTTTCTAGTTTTTTAAATAGCTGGGACACCTTCAGTTTATTATTCACTGTAAGACCTAGGTATTTTTGACCTCACAAATACCTTTCTGTTTTTTTACCTATCTTGTATTTATATGTTATTCATTCTGTAAGTATACTATTCATTATTGTGTTTAAGAAATCAGTGTGATTATATCTTATTTCTCTAGCTTGTTAAGATCATATTGGATGATAATCCCTCAAAAAATACCAATTTCTCTTACCACCTGTGTGTTATCCCAAAACATGCCATTTGTTTAGTGATATTCCAGTGGGATAATTCTATAATTATCTTCATCAGAGAGGGACAAACAGTACTCTTTCCACCCACTGTTGTTTCCTGGGTAATCATGGGATGAATAATGTCCACTCAAACAAATATCCATTAGGCTTACTATGAAACCAGCTCAGCAAGGCCACATGGAGAATACAAAGAGATCTATCAGGTGGTCCCTGCCCTCAGTTTGCTTCCCAGTTAATTGAGAGGAGAATCCACAAGTGAAAAGCTCAATGATAAATGGGAGACAGGTACTTGGTTATATACACTTCGTTTGTCCTGATGGGTCAGGTGTTCATTCTGATCGGTTGGCTTTTGATTCAGATTGGTCAGGCATCCATTTTGGTTGGTTGGGTGTCCATTGTGATTATTTGGGCATACATTCTGATTGGTCAGGCTTCCAAACTGATTGATCAAATGCTCATGCCAAACAGATTGTTAAATATTTTGCATATCACGACTAGATGCGAAAGTTAAACAACAAATGATATAATACCAAAAATTGCTGCCGTAAGTATAGTATCTGCTTGATTAACACATTTCTGTAAACCTAGCTTCTTCGAACAGAGTCAGTCGGTATATAACAAAGGTGTAGAGGGGATGAGAGGACATTCTGCATCCTTCAGGCCTGGGTTAATAAACATGACTGAATGGGAGGCCATCTATAGCATAGGCCCTTAGAATATGGGCAAGGACCATGGCCAATGCTCAGATGATAGCAAAACTCTTTCTTGGGTGTCAGGAGTGAATACCTAATCATCCAGAATGTGGAGGGAGCCGCCCAAGTTGCAACAACTCTGAGTGGCTCCATTTTTGGGTAGGGTCCAGCCGGCAGAAAGGGGAGGTCAAGCTTAGCCTGCACAGAGAGTTGGGATCAATTATTTTACTCTACTAGGGGGTAGACTGTAAGGAATCCATTTGAATACCTCTTGTATTATTTCTTTCTCTGATATAAAGTTTCTGACAATAAAATACTTTACAAAAAATAAGATA